CATATATATAATATATATATATATATATATATATAAAACAAAGCCTCTGGTCTATTACAATCGATTAATTGCATGAACGTGTTACCTAAGTAGTTTCGGTGTCTTCCATGAGCTCTACAGATAGCCCTCCAATCAGAAGTTAACCCAGGTTAGTAAAGTGGACTTCTCCCTACTGTCCTACGAGCACCGCCCGAGTCATTCTGAAGGCCGTCAAGCCACCAGAGCTAACGGTAAGTTGCTGTCAAATAAAATAAAGTCACTCAGTCGCAACACCCCTTCAAGGCTGAGCTGCCATGACGCTTGAAGGAAGCACGAGGACTGAGAGACGTCCAGGCAGTCGTGTATAGACAGCAGCCAAAATAACGGACCTTTTGGCCAGTAAGTTTGAACCCTAGCCACTGAAGAATATCGAGCCCTCTGAAACCTTCTCAACAATGGCAGTGTTTGACAAGGATGTTTACTCTCTCCGTTGTTGTTCAACTTTGTTTTTGATGGAATAATGAGGCAAACGGTAGAAGAATTCAAAAGAACTGTTAGGATGGTCGGTACTTACTGAACTATTCGAGCATTTCACTTCCTCTCTATTGTAACGAACCAAGCCGCAGAGCTTGCTTGAATTGGTTCATCTTCAATAAAGTGAAGATTCATTCAGTTTCCTTTGTCTTCTTCCTTGGAATTTCCCACGACAGTAAGTAGATTACTAAAAGGCCTGGAAGACATTTGCTTATGTTACTTGTGGCGTCAAAATAACATATCACTTGGTCTAAAGGATCGCATGTAAGATACAGTAAGAGGCGTAGTGTTGTGTACTTCGTTAAGCTGTAGCATCCTTTCGGTGCCTAACTGCCATGCCACCAGAAGGAAGTACGAGGGCTGGGATACCGCCAGGTTGCCAAAGCCTGGACAAAGGAAGTTGAGAGGCAGATGTCGGGTTCGAAACACGGGCATTCCGGTCAGGAACCACTGAACGGTCTCGCCCTCTTGTGTGTTTGAGAGATATGATCTCTGCGAATAGATGAGATGAGGAGTCTTCCTTTAGTTTTTACTACCGACGTCTCAGAAGCGTTGCTGGTGTCGGATGCCGTCGAATTATAAAACGGGTATTTGGTTGTGCAGCAGGTATTTTAATCGCAGAAAACATCCAACACCATCATCTACCGTGACCCGGTTTCGTACTACACATGCTTAAACCGTGTCTACGAAGACGAGTGTCGTACTCCGTTCCTCCTTTAGAATGGCGCAAACCACGAGATAGACAGTGTATGACCTGGCAGAAGGGTGTGAAAGAGATAAAGAAGAGTTTGTGTTGTTGGTGCGGTCCGCCCTCTAGGATGGAGTTCCCGTGACCCATCCGGTCCTTGGTTGGAGACATTGCAAGAGATTGCGGTTGGTTGACGTCAACAACCTTCGTCGTGCCAGCTTTTTCCCATATTATCTGATTGACCGCCTGAGGGTGTAGGCATCTCGGAATTCTTGATAGACCAGCACTAGGCCACCTCCTTCACGCATTCTTCTCGCTCTATGGCCTTGAATACAGTTAGATAAACCTTGTACGGCAGTGAATTTGAGGTCTTTAATATGGACGTTAGGTGTAGTGGCCGCTTGGGTTCCAATGCTTCTGGGTCATCCGGATTACTCAGCCGAGTTCCAGGACTGTATTAAGAGCGGATTAACAGTGGGGCATCGATTTCGGCCAAAAAATGCCAACTACCAACTGGTCCTCTATCGTCTATGTAAGGATGAGATGAGGGTTCCATGGGCTATGGGTATGGTTTCGAAACCACACCTGATCAGGTGAGTTCTCACCAGATGCTCCATTGCGTGTTAGACTTAGAGATATACCCAGTCTTGGAGTCCATCATGGGCCACGGGACTTGATCTGATGGTCGACCTTCATTCTATGCTCAAATACTTAGTGCAAAACACTTTCAGTACAGCTTGCTGCAAGTTCCTTAAAGTGGAAACACAATATGAGACGAACACGCCTATCAGCCAGTGATATTGCGCCATGCCAGTTGAACAAGGGTCCATCCCATCGTGTTGGCAGGTACGCGGCCCTCAGCTGTAGTGGTACCTGACGGTTTGTAGCACAACGTCAATCCCGAATCCTCTTGGTGCAACAGTCGGACCAATCGGCCTAACCCATATACTATTGGTCAAATAGACAGGCTCTGATCACCAATGCACCAAGCCGAACACCGATTGGCGGATATTGTGGACCAAATGTTCGAACTCACGCTGATGTTCGTTGAACGCGTTTTGGTGACATATTCAGAAAAGGTTTTTGGTTTCTAGAATGGTACAGTCGCATGCAGCTCAAAAACTTCGTATCCTGTGTCTTTTAAACTGACCAGGACAACCAACAAACTCGTAAATCTGGCCTAGTGGCCAATCAGCGCGGTCAACTAGTCATACGTCGGGTTTCGTGGACGGTTTTTCAGGTACATGACCATGGCCCTGAAGCGACCACTTCATCCTCGACTGATCTCAAATCTGGGTTCAGCGCCATTAAACCAATGATCCAATGATTCACGGATTCATACATATGATCGAGGCGTTCTCCCAGACCCACCCTGTAAGTTTTGTTCTTGTCATTCGGCGACTTATGTTAATGATATTGAAAATATTTAGAGGTTCATCTCAGTATCACTATTTTCAGGTATAAACCGAGATGGTTTAGGTCAGATGTGAGATCTGGCAACTCCATAAGCCTGTTTGACGTGCCGGCATAAGCACTACGGATTTACCCTTAATATTTTCCTTCGAGTAAATCGGAGGGGTGGTTAACGGAGCCCAGCTTGTAACAAAATAAACGGGTCTGGATAGGCCCAAGCAGTTAAATCGGAATGGAAGTTTGGTTTGCGGATAATGGATATCGAGAAGTAGATAGCACGTGGATATTTATGAAACGAATTTGGACAGATATGTGTTTTTCGATTTGGGTGTGTTCGGCTGGGTTGAAGTGGGTGACGCAGTCAGTCCTCAGCCTGTGAGGTGACTCAATAACCCGATGATTTCGGACGGAACGCAGGCGCTATTTCGGCAGATCCACGTAAAATTTTTTGGCGATTTCTTGTCAAACCAAGGGGACTATATCTGAGAAGGATTTACGCTGGGTGACTTCGACAGTATGGAGTTGGTCCTAAACAGCCGGAATGGTTTGAGTTGCGGAAGGTGGACTAATGGTAGATGTGTGACGTTCATGGACCAGAACGTTTCCGAAGTGACAGCGGTAGAACAAGGTGAACCGGATTTTTACGATTTCGTACACAGGATCAAAGCTTTCATGCAAGCTTTCTGGGTCAGATTTGTTCTTGTCCTTCTGGGGCTACTGTTCTTTGAATGAGAACAAGCGGAAAAAGTGTGTAACACTGCCTCGTAGACTCTCAGCGCCGAGTAAGCATATCAACGTGAACATTCACATAAGAAGTGCCT